TTGTATGCTCCTTAGCATTGTTCTCTGTATCTAGACACTACACTGTAAAACTGCTAGTGACGGTTTGTATGGGAAATGTCCCCAACAGAGTAAGTAGGTGGTTTGAAGGAGAAATGTCCCCAGTTGACTAGGGCATGTGAGCACTTGTTTCCCAGTTGATGGCACTGCTGGAGCAGTGTTGGGAACCATGGTGGAAGAAGGGCATCACTAGGCTTGGGATTTGAGATTATTTAGCTTTACCTACTACCGTGTGCTCTTTCTGCTTTGTGTTTTTGGTCAAGCTTCTTGCTCTGCTTGTTGCTATGATTCCTTCCATGATAAACTCTTATCCTTCTAGAACTATTAACCAACACTATCGTAGCTCCACAATAACCTCTTTGGCAGTTCTAACAGGATTTAAATGGTATATTATATGTGGGGACAAAAACCACTTGACCAAATTTAATTGATTAATTAAACAAATTATATCATTAAAACCATTTCATAAGTGTGAAATGTTCTGTCATGCCCTGACCTTGTTGCCACCTTTTCTGCCCTTTCTCTGCTTAAAATATTTCCCTCGTAGCTAATCGGCCCCATCTTTCTTCCTGTGAGTTCAGATTCATTGTCTCTCCCTCTCTTCATATGCCCTTCAGATTGTGGAACGGGATGATTTTCCTGCCTCTTTGTTGAAGGTCATCATGTGTATAAGCCACCCTGGTGGCTAATCAAGGTCAAAGAACACACTGAAAAATGTCGTCCCAGGTGCCTGCTTGCTAGGAATAGGAATCAGACTGTTTAGTCACTTCTTCTTTTGTTGCTGTTTGTTTTTTGGTTTGTTTTGTCTTTTGTTTCTGTTTTGCAAGACAGGGTTTTGCTTTAGCTTTGGAGCCTGTCTTGGAACGAGCTCTTCTTGACCAGACTGGTCTCAAACTCACAGATATCTGCCTGCCTCTGCCTCCCCAGTGCTGGGATTAAAGGCGTGCGCCACCACCCAACTCAGTCACTCTTAAAAAGAACACCTGTTTGTTCATCCCAACTCCCACCTGCCCAGAACTTCATCCTGGAAAGATTTTCTCAAACTTAATCTTCCCAGTGACCTCTTTCCTCTGAACAGGGCCACACTCCTTCAGTTCACCCTGTTTAGAGAGCACTTTCATCTCTCCTGGGTGGGAATTTAGTCATAACAACTTACTTATACATACTCAACCTGGCTGAAGCTGTCTTCACGGCAATAACAGCTTATATTGTCTTTTGAGCCTATATTACCAAACAAGGGCTGACATGTAACCACTCCGGAAGTAACTGGAAACATTTTCCCCTCTGAGATGTAGAACTGACCTCTACAGATTTTCCTGTAAAAAAGATGGCTCATTGACACAGAAAGCTGTTGTCTCTATGACAGAAGTAAGGGCAGAGGAAAGAACAAGGGTGAGGAAAGGGGCTCTTCCAAACTCCAAAGACAAGTGTGCAGAATTGGGCACTTTTTGCAAGGTCAGTGATAAAAATTTTCAGGTAAAAACTCCAAAAAGTTTTCATGTCTCAAGTGCTCCAACTTTTACACACACACACACACACACACACACACACACACACACACACACCACACTCCATCTTGAGTCAGGTTGCAAGAAAATTCTGAGCACTTTTGCAGGGGTCATAGTGGCCCTGACTTTTGTTTGCCCTTGAGGTTAGCTGAGGTCTAACGGCAGTCATCATTCTGACACCAGAAAAGGTGTCCTGATGATTGGAATAGGAAGAACGGAGCAGATGCATTATTTTTCACGCAGTGGGAAGTCTTACTCCTGGACCCAATGAGAAAAGAAAATGTCCCTTCACTTTTGTTTTGGGCAACAACCCCACAACTATGAGCAGCTCCTTTGGAAAGCAGTGGTCACAGTCCTCTAGCTGGAGATTATAAGGGACACAAAGGAAGAATTTCAACCATGCTTTCCACTTGAAAAGGCAGTGATTTCCCGCTATTCATTCCCTTCATCCTGACCATGTTTCTGAGACAGACACCAGAAACTTATTGCAGATACTAGTCATAGAAAAATGCATGGTTTCATGCATGAAATAAAATATTATTTACAGAATGAAATTTAAGAAATAAAGGAAGGAGGGAGGGACGGAGAGAGAAATCACTTGTCCAAAATTGGTGGTTTTTCTAAGTGTTAAATTTCTTACCTGAGCCGAGCATGGTGGCCCACATCTTTATTCCCAGACTCTGGAGCAGAGGCAAGGAGGTCTCTTCAGGTAAAGACCAGTTTAGCTTACACAGAAAGTTCCAGGCTAGCAAGGGCTACATAGCTGGACCCTGACAAAAAAAACCAAAAGCAGGTCCCTAACCTGAATCGTAAGATCAACTCTATTTTCACCTTTATTCTGTATTAATACAACTAACACAAATGGAGACACTGAATAAATCATGATACATGGGTTACTGGTCTTTATTTCAGCATTGCCGTTATTGAAGTCCTTTATTGTCACAAGGAAACGTGAGGGCCAGTTTCTGTGCATGAGTATTTGACCTTAATACAAGTATTTTAAAATAAAACAAAGCATCTAGGGTTCTTTAGAGCTGTGCAGCAGTTGCACTTACTTCTCTATTAATTGGAATTTATATTCCAGTTGGTGTCCCCTTTCCAGTCTTGTTTAAAGTCTTTTTCTCAAGACAGCAGGAGCAAATACCACCCCACCCCCATCATAGCCAAACATTCCTATGGGAAAAAAAAATACAAATAACCAGAAGTTAAAAGTCTTGGTTTCTGATATAAGATCTGAAATTTGGGGGTTGATTTATTTCAAATAAAGAATCTGTTCTAAAAATAGTAAAATATACAGAAAAACAATTCGGTTGGTCATATACTCCTATTTAATTTTCGTGTGCAATTTTTTTTAAATTTGCAAACAAGTACTATTTGTACTGGAGAAGCGCCTTGTATCCTGTATTGTCTCCACTGACCCCCCCCCCCCCAGGAGCCAGACTCTCACATGCAGATATCCAGCAGGCTTAAGGTCTGAAATGGCTCTTTTACAGTGTGATACCATCTCATTGCCACTCTGGAGTAGAGCAAAAACATCAAATAGAGGCTTTGTTCAGTTTGACAAACAAATCCTGGGCTTCATGCGACCCCCGGTCCTTTCATCCTACTTATAAACACAAGGGAGACATCTCACCGACAACTTTGGCAATGAAAATATGCGCCACGGTTTTTAAAACAGCAGGTGCAGGCATCGGAAAGATACAACTGAAGGGAAGGGAAATGAGAAAACTCCCTGTGATTACTGGGAAATGAAACCATTACTCAACAGAAAATTCGAACTTCAGACGTAACACAAACCTCTTGTTGCCCTCTCACGTAGCTGGGAATGTACATTCAAAGGAAGCACCAAAATAATTTTCCAGAAATAACTGCAGGGAGAGAACGCCTAAGCAAAAAACGCTCTACAAATTAAAAGGGCACAAACAAATCCGGTTTTCCCCCACAGAACTCTGGGGAAGAAGAGCCAAGGATAAACTAATCCTCTAAATCCTGAGACACCCTGGAAAGCTCCCTCTAACCTGTCCATCCTCTGAGGTCTCCTTTAGGTATCTGTCTCTGAGATCACAATCCTAAGTAATCGTGAGATGTTGAAACCTTTCAAATGAGAGCCCAGAATTCTGCTAATTTTGTATGCGCCCGGGATGTCTGGGAGGATAAATCCAGGCATTATTGGAATATACTTTCCTTGATCGAAAGGGGGAGGGCGTGGATTGAGAAAATTTGCATCTTATGGTTAAAATTGCCCTTTTAGCTTCCTCGGGACATGCCTCGGGAGTTGGAAGCACTTTGGAGCGGTGTTGCTCTTTTCCTGTCTCCGCATGCCCCACACCCACACAGAGATTTCTAGGTCTCTTGCGCTTGGTGCAAGGTCTCCTCCTCCCTCTTGCACAAACTCTACCAGCTCTATCAGTTCTCTACCAGCTCCTGAACTCTGTAGGCAAGGTGAGGCAGAGGAACTTGGATGCTGCAAACCTGGGGCTCTCCAGAGGAGGTCCCCGCCAGGAACCAAAGGGAGGGTGGGGCGCACACCGTGCGCCATCCCTGGCATCTCAGAGTCCCCAGTTCGCCCTCCCTGGCCAGCAGTGAGCTCCTCCTGTAGTAGACACGTGGCCTTGCCAGAACTTATAGAAAGGCCAACAAAGTATACAAATAAAAGTCTGCCTTCCAAACAGTCTGATTGTCAGTTTCTTTGGTGAGTGCTGACACCAAGAAGAGAAACCATCCACAAACCTTCCCGGTTCATCCCCACTGGCAAGGCTTCATACTTAAAAGTCCACTCCAACAGAAACCTTTACCACTTGATTTTGAGTTCAAGAAAACACAGAAAGTGGGCGCTGTGCAGGGGTTTGGGGAGTGGGCATATGTGCTACACAGCAAGGCAGGGATTTCCTGGGCACCATAGGCCAAAGTAGTCCCAACTGCTTTTTCAGAGCAGTAGTGAGTGCCTAGGAGCCAGACTCAAAGGGGAGGGTTGACACCCAAAGGGGAGTAGAGGCTTCTGAAGCAAGAGGGAGGGGCAAACAAGCAAAGTCTTGAACCTCAAAGTTCCAGAGTAGGGGAGAGGGGTGGCAGTTCTCATGGAAGATGTCCATGCAGTTTATATTTTTTTTCTGTTTGGATTTTCTACCTTGAACCACCGAGGTTTAATTTCAAAGAAAAAAAAAAGGTTATTGCAACTATCAAAACTGATCCTAGGGCCAAAGACGGAGCCAATAACTTTTCTCATGGACTCTAGGAGGCGGCTAGGGTTTCTGCAAAGAGCACTGTCCCCTTGAAAAGGATTAGAGAGAGCGAGATCTGAAAGCATGGGCCAAGAAGCTGCATATCATAAGAAAAGCAAGTTATCTCAGGTGTTGCTTCCAGGGCTGAGATACTGAGTGAATGGGGAGGGTCCTATAAACCCTCAGCCCACCCCATCTTCCTCCTTCTCCATCAACAGGATCACCACCATCATCATCGTCGTCGTCATCATCATCAGCGGCAGAACTTGCACTTGATGATCTTCTTAAATGCGTTTTGAAAGTCCTTGTTGAAATAAGCATAAATAACGGGATTGAGCAGGGAGTTGGAGTAGCCCAGCCAGTTGATTATGGCACCCAACAACGCAGGCATGTGGCAGCTGCTCTCACAGAAAGGCAAGACCAGAGCCACAATGAAAAAGGGCAGCCAGCAGAGAATGAAAGTGCCCATGATGATGCCCAGCGTCTTCACTGTCTTCCTCTCACGGGCCAGGGCCATCTTGCGCTTTGCCTCAGCATTCCGCTCATTTTTTCTCTCCAAACAAGCAGGGGCATAAGACGTAGTCCCGGACTCACTGGGCAGCGGCAGGTGCTCTTTGGAGTTACCCACTCGGTGCACCTCGATCACCTCCAGGGTGGCATCGTCGTCACCCTGCCTCACCGCACCATTAGCGCATGAAGCCCCCACAGCCTTGCTCTCAGAGCTGCACCTCCAGTCCCCACTACCTGGCTGTCCGTTCAGGCTCTTCTTGGGGGGCGGGGCCGACGATGTACTAAGACTGGCGCCCGCTCCCTTCTTTTCTACCTTCTTGACAGTCTTGCGGATTCGGAAGCGCGCGGCTCGAAAGATGCGCCCATAAAGGACCAACATGAGCAGCAGCGGGATATAGAAAGCTCCGAAAGTGGAGTAGATGGTATAGCCATGGTCCTTGCTGATGGTGCATGCGTCGGGGTCCGAGCGGTCTTCCGGGGTGCGCCAGCCAAGCATGGGCGGGATGGAGATGAGAAAGCCAATGAGCCACGTGAGCGAGATCAGCGCAGCGGCGCGCCGGGGCGTCCTCTTGTTCACGTAGTCTATAGGGTCAGTGATTGCCCAGTACCTGTCTAGCGCGATGGCGCACAGGTGCAGGATGGACGAGGTGCAGCACAGCACATCCAGGGCGATAAACAGGTCACAGGTGACCTGGCCCAGAGTCCACTTGTTGAGCACCTGATACAGAGCAGCCATGGGCAGCACCAGCACTGACACCATGAGGTCGGTGACCGCCAAGGAACCGATGAGATAGTTGGCCACATTCTGGAGGGAGCGCTCCAAGGCGATGGCAGCCACCACGCAGGCATTGCCGAGCACCGCGCAGAAAATGAGGGTGCCCAGAAGCAAAGAGGTGATCACTTGGTAGCTGAAGGTCACGTCGGAGATGTCAGTAACGTTGCCGCCTGTCCCGAAGGGCTCCTGGGACGATGTGGTGTTGTTGCCTTCCCCAAGACTGAACATATCCATGCCTGCCAGCACGCCCGGTGGGGTTGGAGAAGGGAGGGGGAAAGAGCTGCAAGGGGATCTCCCTCGCCCCTCCCCCTAGGGTCTTCCTCCTTTTCTGGGGAATTTCAGAGGGAGGGGATCAAGGGACTGTAGCGGGAAGTTCTTACAGCTCTGACGAAGGCTTCTGAGAGGAGCAGCTTCCAGGCGCACTCTCTCGCTTGGCTCCCGCCGGTCCCGAGCGCTCAGAGGCTCCAGCTAGGAAACTGTAGTTGGGCTAAGAGCAGCTTCCAAATCTGGTGGTGGAGATGTGGCTGGAACATCTGTTTCACGCTGTCCATTTCACTTTGTCGCTGCCCAACTAGCTGCGGGAGCCGGACTCCGCCGATTAGCAGTCAGTCTCCAATCTCAGATGTCTCGCATTCCAGAAACCCCATCCTCCAGGGTCACTCTGTGACCCTCATCTCCTAGTTCCTTCTCTCCCTCTCTCTCTAGACTTTGCCTGTGTTGGTTTTTTTTTTCTTCTTCTTCTTTTTCCAGCCTCCTTCTCCCGGCTTCCTCCCACTGGCCTTTCCTTCAGTTCCCCTTTCCTTCTTACCTCTCTTTCTTTATTCCTCTATGTGTCGCTCAGACAGCTAGTCTCCCTTCCTCCCACGCTAGCCCCCACCACCACACATTTCCCCAGCCCTGAGTGCCTCCTTCTTCTGGGTCCCCGCCCTCCTGTCCCTCTAGACAAGCGCCTTTACATTCGAGTCGACACACTCAGAACTCACTTCATATACCCCACTCCGATCCGCTAGTCAGACCAATATTTTAACAGATCAAACTCCGCCTCCTACCCTGCAAACTAGAGGGAGATGAAAAAAATCTTCCCCCACTATCCATTCCCTTTACTGTTGCCAACTTCTTAAATCGAGCCAGTTTCACCGTATGGTTACAGGAAAAGGGGACAGACACAGGAAGCCCGAAGGATGGAAAGCTGGGCAGCCCTGGGTAACCCTCTAAATTACTAAATTAAGAGTGCAGGTCTTCGCTTCTAAAAATACGGGCTCATTTAACACCACAGTCTAGGATTCTTTCCTATTATCCTGTGGACCCGGGAAAGAAAAAAGTATTATAAAGGACACGTTAAAGGACAAAAGCTCAAAGAGAAGATAAGAAACTCAAGTAGGTGTGTATTCTAAACACATACACACACGCACACGCGCGCACACAAACACACACACGCACACGCGCCCCCCCCCCCACTTCTGTTGCCATTACTAGCGACATTTAATGATATTAACACCTCCCATAGCTTTGTAGCAATTAAATCTGGGGAAAGAAATGTTTGTCTGTGTGTTGTGAACAAGGACCTGCATTTCTTACGAACTTTGGACTTTAATCTCCCTTACCAGGCTGCAAATCCCAGATAGCTTGGTGGAGACCCTTGTCTCTGGCAGCCGTGCGTCGCTCTGAAATTGGGTTCAGCACCTGGGACAGTTCTATGCAATAAGGGCTTGCTTATGCCGCCACCTTCCGGCAAGTACTTCAGAGCGCCATCTAGAAACGTTTGTCTTAATGAAATTAGCCTGTATCAAGGAAACCCAAAGACTCTAAGAGAAAGAATATTACAAAATGAAAAGCAACCATTAAATGCTGTCACTTTAAATACTTTCTTCAATAATTTCTTTTTTTTCCTTGGCTTTTATACCTAGCACGCTTTGAAAACTTAAGACACATATCAGTTCATAAATTCTATAGGAAAAAAGTCCCTTTACAAGACGAAAACAACACTTCCTCTTTTTTTGAGCTACTGTTGTGTTGCTACATCCTGAGTTACAGAACTCACATGTTTTGTTGGGGGAGGGTGACATCATAACCTTTTCCAATACTAAAAAAAAAAAGAAATGACAATACTAAAAGTAGAGACTTCTAGGAGTTTGTTTTGAACTTTTTTGGGGGGTCACAAAAACAATCGTTCCCAACTGAACACAAAGAGTAGAAATTCCAATTAATCAGAATACACACAACACACTTATAAATTCTGATTACATACCTAAAGTGGAGAAATGTAGAATGCCATTCTCAGAGCAGCCAGTTCTAAATAACAGTCAGAGCCACTGCAAAGTGCAGTGGTTTTACTGCTCTGTTTAAATCTGTTCGTTGAAATTAGAGTTTTGAATTCTTAAGATCAAAAAAGAGAACAATCACTAAAGCATAAAAGAAAATCTAGTTGAGCAGACATATACAATACAGGCAGTGTGCTTGGAGACAGATTGACCTGGACTCGGTTCCCACTCAATCATTTCAGCGTACCAAAACAACGAAGCTGCCATGGGTGGTGACTCATAAGAAACACTGAAAAAGATTGATGAGTACGCACAAAAGACAGACTCTGAGAAACTCTTTTTAAACATGAGTACATGTCAGTTTTTTTAATAAAAAAACTCTCACAAATACAGAATTAAATTGTTTATTTAAAAAAGTTGCAACTGCAGAGATTATAACAGACATTTAAAGCCCAAAAATTCCAAAGACAAAACTTTAAAAATGTAGCCAAGAGTACAGAGTAAAAGAAGAAACATTTATATTAAAAGAGAGAACATATCTTGACAAGAAAACTTATAAGAACCAAATTGAATATGAATTGTCAAATTTAGCATATGTAAATGTGTAACAAACATTCATATGTGTATATATCAAATCAGGAGACAGGTCAGTAAGCACTGGCCCTTTATGTACTGGATGCTAGATGGTTTAACAGCTAACAAACTTACTTTTCCCTTCCAAGAAAGGTAAAAGGCTTTGACTCTGGAGTTCATGTTTATAAAGTATGGGATTTGCCATTTTACATTACATTACTATATATGATAGAGTATAGCATGTTTAATATGGTAGAGTGTACCAAGATTAACATGCACCATGTTTAGGAAATTCCCAAGTAGTTTATATTATTCATCTTCAAATTAACGACCATGAGATATCAAATATTTCATTTATTAAATTTTAGGATATCTGTAGACACTCTTCCGGATACTAGGAGGAAAGTAATAATAGATGTGCAATGCTATGGTCCTGCAGTTTCTAGGTAGCTAATAATTATGCATAATGATTTTTGCTGAACTTATAATACTGTGATAATATAATAAAAACAGAGTAGTGTTGCCCTTCTCCACGCTCACACTTGGCCCATTCTTCTAAATTTAACTCTTAAGAGATGCAGAAGCTAGTCAGGTATGGTGGTCACAAATCTTTAATCCCAGCATTTCCTTCTGGAGGTAGAGGCAGGCCGATCTATGTGAGTTTTAGTCTAGCCTATTGAGTTATGGACCAAGCAGGGACCTGTACTGAGACAGTCACAAAATCATCATCACCTTCACCATCATCCGGTCTGAAGTGATGCAGAAGATGAGGTATGATTGACTAAATGGTGGAGCATCCTCCAAGCAGACTTAAGTTCATTCTTCAAGGCTTGTGAAGCTAACATAGGAAAAATCTTGCTCTATAACGGCTATGACTGATATGATCTCCAGACAAGAATACCAATCTCTCTGCTTTTATTCCTAGCTTGAATTTACTAGAATCAAGGCAGAACTTGTCAGGTTATAGATCTGTGTGTGATATATCATCCATCATGGGGAAATTCTCTGAAACACTTTATGAGAGAGAAATTATTTTTAACATTTTCATGGAAATTTGACCCAAGCCCAGCATATTGAGGTAGTTCTTTGACAAGGCATGTAAAACAAAAATATTCTATGTTTAAGCTTTGCAGTGATCATAGCTGAAGTTGGGATTCATCAGTAATTGCTTAAACAGCATGTTCTACTTACGCTAGAGCTTTGGTTAAGGCGAGAAGATGCTGACTAATTGAAAATCAACTTACAAAAGTTATTTTTAAAAGTTCCTACTTGAAAAGAAAAATGGTTTAGTTCCTTGACATAGGATAGATTATCTGAAGCTAAAAATACTACTCTAAATTAATGTTCTCTGATCCTTAAATACCAAAGTAGTAAGATAATTATATTTTTCCAGAACTCTGAGTTTTGACTGGAAATCATTAGAAAAATAAGGTTTAGACAGGAAATTTTGTTTAGATATTCTGAGAACTAAGGCTTCCTTATTACTAAAAATTTATAAAAAATTCAAATAAACAAAGAAAATAGGTTCTTCAAGACTGAGTAAAGTTTTTGTTTTTGTTTTTAATTTTCGAGACAGGGCTGAGTAAAGTTTCTTGTGTTAAACCTCACCATCTGTCTTCCTCTAGGAATGTCATTTCTTCACTGCTGTCTTCCTGCCATGCACTTCTGGTGGCAGAAGAAGGGACCTGAGACTTCAGTAGCAAAGCACAAAACAGCAGTCTTGTTTGCTAAACAATCAAATGGCTGCAATGATAGACCCATGATGACCACATGATGTAATACACTTTGTTAACCCAAAGTAATCGTCAACAAAATTTGAAAAGAAATAATTATAGTGATGCAGAGTAATAACATTAACTGTCTCTCTGGTGTAATTTCTCAGAATGAGAAATATGTGTGCATAGTGAGAAAATAACAGTTTAGAAAACAAAACCTATGAGGTCCTGTTTCATGAGACTCCATTATAAAGACAACTTTCCATGTGGATGTTATTTTATTTTATTCCTTAAAGTAGTTATTAAGAAATTTCCAGGAAATTCTAGGTAAAATACAAATGGATTTAAAAAATATGATCATTGTATTTTGGAGCTTCTTGGCCTAAATCAGGATTTACTGAAGAGGAAAAACAAACATGCCAATGAAAGTTCAATACTTGGTGTTGAGAAGGAGTCTGTCCTTTTCCCAGGAGCCCTGCTATATTTGCTTCAAAGCATGAAATAAACCACTGAAGTGTATAACTGCCAAAGAAATACTTTTAAAAAAACCCACTAAAATATTGAAGATAGAGTTTCACATTTAGACATTATCAGATTCATAATAATTAGTATTAATAAATATATTTTTCATATCTCAATTCCTGTAGAATACTATCTAAATTATTCCAATTAGAATTATTTCCGT